ATTAGATAATTGCATTAATGAGAAATTGAACAGGTGTTCCTAATAATCCTTCAGGTGAGTGTATGTTTGTGTGTGTGTGTGTGTGTGTGTAAATCTATGTCAAGTTGTTTTGGAGATCATTTGGCTGTCATTTGTTTCTTGGAGTAACTTTTGTTATTTGTTCTTGGTTTTGAAAGTTATTTTAATAGTGTCCAGTCTTCACATTTGATTGTGCAAATGCAAAACTAATTTCCAGGCTTAGGGAGGCCTTGGACTTTACAGTATCTCATTGACTAAACCCTTAAATGCATTGTTGCCATTGAGCCACAGAGTTCATGAAACGTAACTGAGGATTACTTGTATGTTCATGGAAGCTGCAGCAGAGAGACATGCTGGATTTCTGTTTAGAATAAAACTTATCAGCGGTCATTTTCTTGTAAAGGGATTCCATAATCTTTCTTTGTCACTGTTGTAATATTGTGATGGATGAGTTATGTATTGAGATTCAAGTCACAGAAGAATCTAAATATGAAGAATGGCAATAGCATACTCAAAATATGCAAGCATAACATCAAAATCCACTTTTGCTTCCTTATTTTGACTTATTAACATTCTGAAAACAGTCTATACTTTGTCATTAATGATGTTCTAATGCTAAATCAAGCACAGGCACAAAGACAGATTCAACCTCCTGCCTTGCCAACTGTGGTTGGCTGTACCAGAAGGCTAATTTATGCGCTGAACCTTAAACAAAAATCCTGTATAGGGAAGCTATTGGACTGAGTTGTGCTGGCATGGAGTCTTATTCATTCTTACAAAAATCATAAAACGACAGGCAAAGCTTCTGGGCTCTAGTACAGCTTATGATTCAATCACCATCGGTCCTCCTTTATTCAGAAAGGTTTTGCAATGATAGGGAAATGCAGTCAGATTACCATGTAGCCATAGAGTAAAATCCCAGAAAGTACAATGCAGAAGGCCATTCCATTACAGGGTTTTCATGTCTTGTTTTGATTTCTCATATGTCATGCTAAATTTCATAACCAGAAGTACAGTACATTGGTACCTCAAGGATAAGCAAATGGAAAGTAGATGAATATTAAACAGATACAGTGGTACCTCAGAACCCGAATTTAATCCATTCAGAACTCCGGATCGAATCCTAAAAAGTTCGAGTTCTTATCAAATTTTCCCCATAAGAAATAATGGAAAATCAATTAATTGATTCCCGACCCCAAAAAATTACACCTAAATATGTTTTTTTTTTAGCATTTAAACACAAAGTGAACCGGATACAACAAGAGCAGCATATACTGTACTAAACACATCTAAGCACATTTATCAAAACAGTAATTTGTAAAATAAGAAAAGAAATGTATCCAAACAATGTGTAGAGTTAAAAAAAAAAACAATGTGTCCTGCCCCGGTCATCTGCTCCTTCCGTGTGCCATGTCCCCTTTAACCCTGTGTGGAATCCCCGTGTGATCAGCTGTTTCTGGTTGTTTTCATTAGTCCTCTGTATTTCGTCCGCGTTTCAGTTTGTTTCCCCAGTCCAGTCATTGTATTGTCTGTCTGCATTTTGCCTGCCTTACCTGTAATTAAACCCTGTATTCCTCAATACCCTGACGTCTGTGCCTTTGTCTCCGTTCCGTCCCCACACGGCACAACAATATTATTATAAGTAAATGTATTAATGGTTTATTATTAATATTAAAATAATGAATAAGAAATCTTTATTTTTAAATGTATTTTATTATATAATAATTACTGTTACTGTCTATCGTTGTCTAAATGTATTTTTACTGTCTAAATATATGTATTCAGCTAGTGTAAACACGCACGATGCTATCAGCGAATGCGAGGCTGAGACTGAAACTTTACCCTTTGTTTCCGCTGAGAGACGTGCCACGTGACTCATTTCCCCGCGTGTACAAGTT